AAACAATCTAAGGGACCTATGGGATAATATAAAGTGTGCCAATCTATGCATAATAGGGGTTCTAGAAGGGGAAGAAAGAACAAAGGGGATTGAAAAGGTATTGGAAGAAATCATGACTGAAAACTTCCCAAACCTAAAGGAATCAGATATCCAAGTACAGGAGGCTCAGAGGGTCCCAAACAGGAAGAACCCAAACAGACGCACACCAAGACATATCATAATCAAGATGGCCAGAGTCAGGGATAAAGAAATGATCCTAAAGGCAGCAAGAGAGAAAACAAAGAGTGAGTTACAAGGGAACCCCCATAAGGCTCTCAGCTGATTTCTCTACACAAACACTACAGCCCAGAAGAGAGTGGCAAGATATATTCAAAGTCCTGAATGAAACCCAATTTAAAAATGAGCAAAGGATCTGAATATTTATCCAAAGAAAATATACAACTGGCCAACAGGCACATGAAAAGATGCTCAGCATCACTAGTCATTAGGGAAATAACTGAAAACCTCCATGAGATACCACCTCATGCCTAACAGGATGGCTGTAATCAAAAAGACCGACAATAACAGGTGTCAACAGTGATGTAGAGAAACTGGAATCCTCCTAGACTGCTGGGTGTAATATGGCACAGACACTTTGGAAAAGTCTAATTTTAAAAGGTTAAATGTAGCATTACCATATGATCCAGCAATTCCACTCCTCAGTATATACCCAAGAGAAATGAAAACAAACGTCTACACAAAAATTTGTACAGAAATATTCATTGCAGTATATTCATCATAGCCCCAAAGTGTAAAACAACCCAAGTGTTCATCAACTGATACACAAACAAAATGGCCATATAATGGAATATCATTCAGCCATAAAAAGGAATGAAGTACTGACACACATTATGACATGGATGAACCTTAAAATATTATGCTAAATGAAAGAAACTGGTCACAAAAGAGCACATGTTGTATGATTCTGGACAACAAAATGTCCAGAACAGACAAATCCAGAAGCTGAAAGTAGACAGCGGTTGCCAGGAGCCGGAGAGTTGGGAATGGACAGTGACTGCTAATGGGTATAGGTTTCTTTTTGAGGTCATGAAAATATACCGGAATTAGAGAGTGGTGATGGCTGCACAAGTGTGTGAATCTATGACAAACCACGGAACTGTGCATACTTTAAAAGGGTGAATTTTATAGTATATGAACTATATCAATAAATAAAATGTCAATAGCCGTATGTGGTGAGTGGAACTGCATTTGATGATGCAGCTGTAAAGGGAGGCACTTTTGGGTCTTAGGGACGAGGGGCATGAGAATTCAGCCTCCTGTTATCAAATAACAGGAGCCAGAGACAGCACACACACCCAGCTGCCTCTGCTGAGGCAGGAGAAGGAAGGATGCGTGGTCCACTTTCTTCAGGACCATGAAGGCCATGGGCTATGCGGCAGGGTCTTGGCCAGGTTCACAAGGCCTTCCTGCTGGGTGCCCTAGGTAAGTCTTCTCTGTTCCTCAGTTTTGAGAATAATCAAATCAAAGCATTTGACTGAATGTAGCAACTCTTAAGGCATCAAGGCTCTAGCCTTCTTGCAACCCTCTTCTCTAACCTGTTGACTATACCCTTATTCACATCACAAGACCAGCTGAAGTGTCACTGTCATTCAGTCTTAGAAATCATAGGACTGTGTAGAGCATGGCCAGCAATTATACTGGGATTGTACCAGGGACAGATAAGGAAAGGGACACAGGGGTTTAAAGTCCAGACAATGTCACAAGAGGAGAGAGAGAAAGAAAATAGCATGGAGAGGGGTTTTTCCTCTAATGAGCAGAAACTCGTCCAGGCCCCTTCTAAACAAGGGATCATTTTAAGTGATGAAACTCAGCTGCAGCTTGAATGGAAGTTCATCAGTGGACATATTTGGATTTGTCTTCACTACAAGAAGCTCTGAAAGGGACAGAAAAGTTGGCACCAGAATGATCCTGTTGTGCACTGTACTGTCAGATAGTCATCAACAGAAAATGATAAAAGCACACTTCTTATGCACAGTATCACCACCATTCTAATGAATGAAAATTGTTAGGTAATAAAAATCTACTATTACATACAAATTAAAAAAAAAACCAACACCTGGTCTATGGTTTTTCAGAACCATGAGATGCTTTGAGGGAGATAAAGGGCTAATGAGAGGCCAGAAGAGGCACAAAGTGCTTACCTGTCCCATCCAACATAGGGGTAGGTTCCTGGAGGAGTGGGGATTTTTCCCAATGAGGAGGGCTCTGCTGGTCCTGAGATCCTGCCCGGGAAGTCTCCTCCAGAGAGCTCTCCCGGGGATATCTGTTAGGAGTTTGCGGTTGGAAGTCTGGCAGTTCCTGTTCTCCAAGCTGGGATCCGGTTTTCTCCAAGAGCACCTTCTGGCCCTGCATACAAACAGCCACCTAGGAACAAGCCCCATGCATTAGAGCACAGACTAAGGACTGACGCAGGGCCGCGTGACCTCTCACTTGCCTGTAATGACTGCTTTACCCTGGGAATTTCTGATAATGGCCTGTTGGTCAACTTTGATGGAGATTGCTGAAACTCTCAAAGGAGAGGACATGCAGAATGGAGGCTACTTCAAATCAGCCGATACTTCCTGAGTGGCTGTCCCCAAAGCTTGGGCCTTTCTCAAGGGTTGGAGTCAAAGTCATCAGAGAGTGGGGCCAGCCATAACACTGACCCAGCAGATTCCTACCCTATGCCCACCTGCCTCCCTGCTTCTGCTGGAAACAGGCCCTGTAGGATCAGGAAGCAGTAGGGTGGGGGCCATTAAAAACTATCCTTATCTAATGAATTGTTCTGCCCAAGGCTCTCCTGGTAAGATCTCAGCAGTAGTGGGGCTGTAAGAAAATGGCCCTACCCTTGTTCCCTAACTGCTTCCATTTCACAAAGCACAAAGTATTTCATGATTGTTTGCTTCCTCCCGAGGCTCCTACTGGAGTGGGGGTTGGAAGGAATACCGGCCAGCTGAGCTGTAACTTCCTGATTCAAAGTCAATGTTCAAGATACTTCACTGGGACAAGGTCTAATAAAGTTCCCCCAAATCAGATCTGACCCAGCAGGATGACCCTGTCTGCTAAGAATCTTGATTGCGGGGAAAATTCAAGAGAAATGGGTGGGAGGAGATCTGTGGGCAAAGATTCGAGAACCCTAGTTGATCCTCTGCTTTCTCACTGGAATGCAAGTGGCTCGGTTTCCTGAAAACCTGTTACATTTCCCTGGGGAGTGGGAGGGTAGCGTGGTAGCGGGTAGGTTCCAAATAGAGGCCAGAAGCAACATTTTAAGTCTGGACTTGGTCTATCTAGGGAACCAGAGATCAAATACTCTCCAGATGAAAAAGAAATCCTCCGGGTATTAAGAGAGGACCCTCCTTACCCACTGCTTTGGTCCCTTGGCTGCTCTGTGAAAATCTTCCACCAGGGTCACAATCTCCTTGCTGCTCATTGGACATCGATGTCTGACCCGAGCCTGGATCTCTGGGGGCAAGATGTTTAGAAACTGCTCCAGAACCAGCAGCTCCAAAATCTGCTCTTTGGTGTGCACCTCGGGCTGTAGCCACTGACGGCAGAGCTGTCGGAGCCGAGAGAGTGCCTCTTGGGGTCCAGACACCTCTTGATAACAAAACTGTCTAAAATTCTGGCGGGAGAGCTCTGGATCGGGCCACTCTTTTTGCAAGGCGGGCTCCCTTTTATCTTCTAGCCTTGCTATTATATGTCTCTCTTGCTTCGAGGAAGCCTGAATGTGGGTCTGCGAGCTCAAAGTTATCTCCATTTTAGCTGCCATTTTGGGGCTCAGGAGGCAGCTTCTCTCTCCTTGTAAACAGCTCAAGCCTTCGGGATCATGGCTCTGAACGCTATAAAGATGGTAGAAACGAAGCTCCTCTGAGGATGCTGAGGAGGAAAGGATGCACACAGAGCCTCCTCATTCGTCAGCCTTGACCCCAAACTCCTGAAGACGACACAGTTCCTGGGAGTGGGAAGGGTCTGTTCTTCTGCCAATTTCCTGAACTGTTTTGCAAACGGGTAAAGTCATAATGTCCTAAAAGGAAACTAGGAAAAATACCGCTTTTATTTCAGCGACAAGCATACGAGGTCTCAGAGCAAATGCGCAACCAGATCTAACAGGCTGGTAGGAATCCCTGGGAAAAGTTGATGTTGTCTTCCAGGTAGTCTGCACAACTCCCCCGCATCCTCCTTAGGCCGACCGTCAGCACTTCGCCGGGCGCTACAGGGTGAGCCCAGGAAGGCCACGGCGCGCGCCGGGGGTTAGCAGCTGGCGGCAGCCTCCTGCTGGTGAGCAAGGTACACGGGGGCGCGGCAGCTGGTCGCCCCCAAGGCTCCGAGGCCCAGCCGGTCCGGCCTCTGAGGGCTCACCGATCCGACTCCGCGCCCCAGCTGGTCCCGGGGTTTGGCGAAGCTGCAGCACTCTGGAGCGCGGCTCAGCTACGTGGCCGGGTGAGAGCTCGGGAAGGCACCTGCGACGGCAGCGGCGCTGACAGAACTGCACCCCGCGCCCACCTGCAGCGGACTCACCTCTCTGGGGACCTGGGACCAGGAACCCGGAGCCAGGGCCGGGGGCGGGGCAGAAGCCGCTTGTCACGGACACTCCCACTGGCGGCTGAGGAACTACGTACGCTACGGGAGGGCCCGCCTCCTCCCAAGAGGGATTGGCTCTTCGAGGCGTTCTCTCTGGCCTATTGGCTGCTGGGTCTGTCGATGCTGGCGAGAACGGCGCAGTGCACTCCGGGAGTTGTAGTCGGCTGGTACGACTTGCGAGCAAGCGCAGTGGGTTCGCTGCAGCCAGGTTCCCGGCTCAGACTTCTAGCCCCGCTGCTGAGCCAGCTTGGGGAGTCGGGAATCCGCGCGTCCGGTGAGTGCTCCGCTTCCTGGCGGCCAGGGGCTCGCGGCTGGGCCTCACGCCGGCCGGGAGCCGCTTGCAGCTGGCAGTCGTCTCAGAGGCAGCTGGGCCAAGGCCGGGCGCCCATCACACTCTCCGCGGTCACCTTCTTGGGCCCCGGCCTTTCGCCCCGGTGCGCGACCCATCCGAGCCAGCCGGAGCCGTCCTGATTTCTGTGCCCGAAGCCAGGCCCCCTTCGGCAAGTGACCCCCGGCTCGCTGCAGCAGAAGCCGGAGGACTTGTTCTCCTATTCCTCTTCAGCCACTGTATCTACCCCTCGCACCGAGTGCACCAAGAGTACTCAGTGCATCCTTGCCTAGTGAAAAGTGAATCAACCCGACTCCCCATCCTCATCCTGTTTTCCGCTGAGTGGATTGTCACCAGAAAGAAACACATTTTTGAGAGAGGAGTATTTTTAAATTAAGTATGAATGAAATGTTAGGGGTCAGGACGAAGGCAGGCTCCGCCTTCTGCATGAAACTAGGACAGTATTTCTTAAATTGTTCTTCATCCAGAGAAGGTGTGGGTTGTATGAAAATGTGTAAGGCTAGGAGTACAGGTTCTAGCCCTGGCCTTGCTGCTGAGGAACGATGCTCTGTGACGCTCGTTTTTCGTTAAAAAGGACCATTAACAACAATGCCTTTGCTTTCTCTAGCCCCTCCTGCTGCATTGAAATGTAAAGAGAATATAAGTGAAGGCCATTCAACCTGAACCCATGATTTTAAAAGTTTTTTTTTTAAACTCCTGTAAACAAGCTCACCCCTTTGGTGGAGGAGGAATGGACTGGAGAGTGGGACAGAACCGCAGAAAGCTCCCATCTTACATCGTCCCAGTTTAGCAATTTCCGGGAAATTCGGAACTTTTCTCACCCTGTGTGGAAAATCGCAGAGAAGAATTTTGACAGGCCCAGCCTGTGTCAGTCACCCACTCCTGTGGTTGGAGGAAGGGTACTATAATGAGTAGCCTGACCGGACACGACTAATAGGGAGAGGCTCTTTCACAAAGGGAGATGCTGCTGTGAGCAAAGGGAATGCTGGAAAACAAGAGCAAACCAGAACAATCATTTATCATCCACATCGTGTGTGTGTGTGTGTGTGTGTGTGTGTGTGTGTGTGTGGTGGTGGTGGTGTGTGTGTGTGTGGTGGGAGGAGGGCCTGATAGTGAAGAAAAGGGTAATACTTTTCCCTCTTTAAGAAGAGGTGGCCTTTGGGAGGGTGGGTCCAGGCTTCTGAGGGTAAGGAGAGCAGGGACAAGACCCAGGCATGTGGGGATCGTGAGAAAGAACAGCTGGACTACAATGAGCAGCAGTTTAAGGAATTCATCCACAGAATATTGGCTAGGGAGAAAACTTTTTTTGTTGTTGTTGATATTTTTAGTGCTTTGGTTCCTTAGCTTGGATTGAAGAGGGAGTAAAGGGAAAGGATAGGAAGGAACCGTAAGAACCAGAGTGAAGGCCTGTGGGACGGTTTTATGCTGTCTTTTTCCACTCTCTTCAGCCTCACTTTAGAGGTGAGCCTTTTTCAACTGAATCTGCACACCTAGGATGTGCTCATGTCTCTGAATCCAGAAAGACGCACTTTTCACTGGTACCCAGGAGAACCACTTCCCAGTGATAAGAAAAGGGATAGAATCTGATCTGCAGGGGGCAAGTGGCAACCAGTGAGCCAGTCAGTTGAAGCAAAGCATGGCTGCAGTCAGGAGTCCTCAGGCACACCTGTCCCCAAGCAAGGAGTCCCCACAGGGATAGAAGTCATCCCTGCACTGCAGCAGCCCTGACTCCGAGGCTTCCCGCCAGTGCTTCAGGCAGTTCTGCTACCAGGAGGTCGCTGGCCCCATGAAGCTTTCAGCAACGTCTGGGAACTCTGCTTCTCAGTATCTCTCCTCTGTCACTTTAAGGATGAGTTACGAGGTTGGGAATTAAAGGATGAAGATGGCAGTGAAAGAAAAAAGTTGATTTTAAGTACCTACAATATGCCAGGCTTTGGGGATTTTACAGTGAACAAGACAGGTGTGACCCCGGGTTGCTGGAGCCTACACTCCACAGGGGAAACAGTAAGAAAATGAATAAAGGTACCTTCAGGTGAGTGCTCTGAAGGAATGAGCGGGGTGATCTGATACAGAATGACCGTAGGGAGGTGCTAGGGGGCCAGGCCTGTCTGAGAGGCCATCTGAGCTGAAATGTGAGGGAGAAGGAGGAGCTGGTGTGCTAGGAGCTGGGAGGAGGCTCTCCAGGCACAGAGCACAGTGCACTCCAAGAGCCTGAGGCTGCCGGGGACTTGTCATGTTTGAGAAAGAAGACAAGGTTTGTGGCTAGAGCTTCAGGATCAGGAGAGTGGTGTGGGATGTGAGAGGGGAAGGCTGTGCTTTTTAGGCTGTAGAGAGGAGTTTGGCTTTTATCGTGCATGCCGTGGGAAGCCACAGACAAGTGCTAACAGGAACGGACGAAATCATACATGCTACCTACTCTATTCCATGTAGAGAATGGATTAGAGGGTTCAGCAGCAGAGAGGATGCAGGGCAGCCAGTTAACAGGCGATGCCAGCAGTCCAGACAGAGGACAGTGTCCTGAACCAGGCTTCGGGGTGCAGGGATGGAAAGGGGATCTTCTGAAGGTAGAACTTGGTGATGACTGGATTTGGGGGAGAGGAAAGGGCAGCAGTGCGGGGACCACAGGGGCTTTCTAAAGTGAAGGCTGACGTTCCCACTTAGCAAAGGCACACCGCTCTTAGAGCTTGTGTGTGTCAGGCTCCATGCTGGGCACTTCCATGTAAATGATCTAAATCACTTGACACCACGTGATTGTGGCCAAATTCCATTCATTTTTGTTTTATTAACAGTGGCCCTGAGAATATTCCTCTTTGACTGTCTCACTTTGTTCCTTAATCCCACTCTCAGGGGCTGTCAAGTCCAACTTAGGTAGGAATTTGTAGTGACAGATGATGGGTTCTGTTCTCAGGGCCCAGATTCTGGGAAGGACTTGAAAGTGCCTAATAAGGAGACAGCCCCTTTGGGAGCAGCCAGAGAATCACCGAGATCCCACCTGGAAAAGGGGCTTCATCCGGAGGTATGGACCGCAGCGGGGTCCCGGAGCTCACACCAGAGACCATGGGAACAGGCAGAAGGTGAGCAGGGGCCTCTGCCCTCACCCAAGGTGGGGAGGAACTGTCACCTACTGGAGATGCAGGTCTGAGCTCCAGTCGCCCCTGGGTACCAGATTAAATGTCTTTGAAATACACCCAAAAATCAAGATTTCAGATTTTAGTTGATGATACTAGCACTTACAATAAGGGACGGAGATCCTTTGTGTGTTCACTTCTCTTTAATTACAGTTTAACTCAATTGCTCCTGGGTCAGCTGTTATTCAAGGTGAGCATGTTCACCTTGCCTGGGCAGAGGAGTTCTTCATAATCTTGAAGACATAACCCCCTTCCCCATCCAGCTTAATCTCTTCCAAAATACATTTTCCCTATTAGTTTTGCCTTTCTTCCCTAGCTCTTTTTTTGCCCTGTCTTAAGTTTTTAGAAAAATTTTTTTTAATTAAAATTAATTGAGGTGTAAAATTAGCCATTTCAAGTGAGCAATTCAGTTGGATTTAGTACATTCACAATGCTGGACTATCACCACCTCTATCTTTTTCCAAAACAGTTTCATGCCCCCAAAAGGAAACCCCATATCATTAAGTAGTTGCTCCTCATTCTCTCTTTTTTGATCTGCCTGTTCTGGACATTTCATAGAAATGGAATCCTACAGTATATTACCTTTTGTTTCTAGCCTCTCTCATTTATCACATTTCCAGCCTATATCATGACTTTGTTTTTATGGCTGAGTATATTCCCCTCCACAGACAGAGCAAGGCTCTATCTTTCTAAGTTATTTTCAGGGAAGCACTTTGGCTGCATACATTTCTAGATCGTCCTGAAGGCCACTGCTACCTTTTCTGCTTAATTCAAAGCTGCCATTACAAGTTGCTAAGTAGTTTTTGTAGCCAGCTCATCTTTATGTAACTCAAATTCCTAGAGGAAAACATTGTGTCTTCATGCTGTTTTAAAAGGCAAGCTTCTGCTGTTGAAATGAAAACCTAAGAGCTTATTTGCTTTTGTATCTTTTTAAGCAAAGTAAATACACTAGCTTGGCCATTTAGCATTTTTGTTAACACTTGGGAACATCTGTTCTCTTTGGTGTGTGATTTATGAGGCTTTGCGGTCTGAGTAGACGGGGGGCAGGACTCACTCTGTTCCATGTTGTGCTCCCTCAGCTCACCGTGCCTGCAGGCTGCTTGGATCCCAAAGGGTCACAGACCTCTGAGTGTCCTCTGAAGTTCTGTTAAGAAGTCATCAAAATGCACCATTTGCTTTGTACTATTCCTGAGGGTGGGAATCTGGGACAGAATATGTTATCTTGCTCTGAAGAAAAATAAAAGGATTGAGTTCGTGCAGTATTTTTAAGAGCACTGTGGTTACCCCTGGGTGGCTGGGCAATGGGACATTTCCTCCCTGCTTCCCAGTATTCTATTAAAATTTTTAAAAATACAACATATACATATTTCTTTAGAATGAAAAAAAATTTAAAGCCATTATGTCAGGAGGAATCTGGAAAAAGGAACTTCTTAACACAGAGACAGGTCATTGGCTAGGGCAGTGGTCCCAAAACTTGACTGCATCAGACCCCTCTGAGGATGCCCAGGCCTCACCCCTAGAGTTGCTGATGCATCAGGTCTGAGGTGGGGTCCAGGAATGTGCGCCTCTGATGAGTCCCAGGTGCTGCTGCTGCTGCTGGCCTGGGACCCCACTTGCAACCCCTGCTCTGTGGCTGCGATGTGGAGGCGCCCTCTAGCCTTGGCTGTTTTCTCGCCTAGCCTGGTTCACCCCGCAGGTTCCCAGGAACCTTCCTCAGAAGAGGGGCCTTGGACGCCAGGAGACAGGTGCTGTACTCTGCCCAGCCGGGGCTCAGGTGAGCTGTGGTTGACACCTTTTGTTTCTTTGGGTTCCCATCTCACCTTGCACTCACTCTCACCCTAAGTTCCTTCTTTCCCGGAGATGCTGGAAAGATTTTTCTGTGGTCCATTAAGTTTCTCTCGGGTTGTTTTCTTGTCCTGTCACTGACATCATCACATGAGTCTTTATCCACGCTGATCTTTCTCCTGGGGGCCTCACCTCCCCTTTTCTTGTTTCTTTTTCTGGGGGTGGGGTGGGGGCGGTAATTAGGTTTGTTTATGTATCTTAATGGAGGTAATGGGAATTGAAGCTAGGACCTTGTGCATGCTAAACACACGCTCTACCACTGAGCTATATCCTGCCCCCTCCCCCTGCCCTGTTTTGCCCCACTGTGAGAACTGTGGTCCTGCCTCTGCCCCTACTCCCCACCGCAAGCTAGAGTGGTGCTATTTTATTGGCAGCAGCAGACCCCGGTGTCATTACAGGGACCAGTCGCGTGTGAGGACAGAGCCGTATCCGTCCATCAGGAAGGACAGGTGCACCTTGGCCCTACACAGAGGGCCCTGTGCAGGGATGCTACACAGAAGAATGACAGAAATGCCTCACTGGGTAAGGGTCCACATTCCCTCTGGGTCCACAGTGGATGTGTTCAGTTGTTCGGAGAGAAAGAGAGAGACCGAAAGAACCCAAGAGGAAAGGAGACAGAGGGGCAGTGGGGAGCCTGTGAGGTAAAGAAAGAAGGAAATAAACAGGAAAACACAGAGTAGGCAAAGACACAGAGAAAAGAAGACAAGGAAAGAAAGACAGAGACTGAAGGAGGGAAAGCACCACCTTGGGACAGGGATGGACTGCATGCGTGACAGTGAGCAAGATCGGGAGAAGGGACAGTGGGGATACAGAGTGTGGGGAGGTGGAGATAAGCAGGGGATGGAGACAGAGAGGCAGCAAGAGCAACACAGAGCTGGAGACAGACAGTAGCCAGTGAGGCCCAGACTCTGAGGGCAACAGGAGAGAGAGGAGTGAACCTGTGCGCACACCCAGCTGTGATGTGGCCTGGGTAGCAGAGAAGATTGAAAAACAAAACAATCCAACTGTGGCAGTTGGCTTCTATGCCCAGGCCCTTCAGGAGGCAACAAGAGCCCTTTCTCAGAGTCTCAGGACTGATCTCTTGCCTTTTTTCAAATCAGTTCTGCCCCATCTGGGCTGTGCCTCCTCTGAGCAGCCTCCCTGACCATCAGATGCAGAGACAGGCTCTCCATGGGCTGCGGCCTTGACGTCTCCTTCCTGCATCTTCACATGCAGAAGGAACCTGGATCATGGTCTGAAGGTCATCCTGGGTGGATCAGAGTATGAACAGGGACCCCAGATATTCAGGGCTTCAGCATGAGGAAAAGGTGCCAGACTCCCAGCAGTGAGAGGAGTGGAAGCGTATGAACCATCAAATGGAGAAGAAAAAATTCGAGGGGGAAGCACAACAGCCAGACTCAGCCGATGGGACACACAGCCTCCCCCACCCCGGGGCTGAGGAGGAAACCAGGACTCTCTGGCCTGTTCTCAGTGGCCTTGGCTGCATGAGAAACTCCAGGTGCACCCGCAAAGCAGCCAGCCCTGCCGGGAAGTCGCGAGCTTCTGTGTGAACGAAGCTTCCACCAGACTCTGGAGCAGCGTGGAACCAGTTTGGGAGCTCTGGGCCAGTTACTGTCGAAGGACGGGAGGCCGCAGCCAGGAGCCCTGTGCCTTTGCGGAGGAGAAGGAAGCTCTGCCGGCCTCACAGGGCTCCTCCAGTTCTCCCAGTGTCTTGGCAGACAGGGTTGTGGAGGCCAAAGGGCTAAGCCAATGCCCAAAGGGAAGTACAAAGAGGTGGGCAAGAGGACACAGTGAAGGGCTCAGACACCTCAAATCCGACAGAAAGCAGCCAGGCCAGGAAACTCCAGAGCCACTCGGTGAGGGCCTTTCTGCACACGTCCTGGAGCTGATCACCTAGAAGCAAACTGCTCCCCGACATTGTGCTGTGTCTTCCAGCTATAAGTTGAGGACAGTTCCTGTTCCCTCACTGATGGTGATATGTGGGTTGAAGGCTAGAGTGGACACTCAACAGACAGCCATTCACTTGGCCACATGCAGGTTACACAAAGGGAAAAGTAGTACCTAAACATGTGTTGTTGTGAAATTGGAAAGCCAAAGTCAGGTGCTTTCCAGTGATAAAAATGGTGAATTGTGTGAGCAGATGTTATACATGGATTTTGTTAACAGAACATAAAAGAATGGAGATGATGTTAGCCAGGGGATCGAGCACTGTATTCTCCCTGGAAAGTGGGTGATGTCCTAGCAGGAGCTGCTGTGTGACTTCGAAGGGCTGTCATCTTGTGGCATAGTTTGAGAGACTAGGATGTGACATTGTGGGCTGCTAAAACCCTGCACTGCTGTATCTGTCTGCTCTGGTCTGATCACTCCTGGCAGGAGGCGTACACTGGGTCTATGGAGAGAACAAGACACTCCTGGCCATTCCAAGTTACTCTCAGTTTTATGAAAAACCCCAGACCAATCAGCAGAACAGCCAGATCTACAGGGTCATGGTGGAACGACTCCAGGAGTAGGGGTTTCTGTGGACCCCAGGGCAGAGTTGCACCAAGTTTAAAAGCCTGCAGTTGAGTTACTGCAATATGAGGACAGGCTACGTGCCTGAACCTTGTATCCTTTACAAGGAAACGGGTGCCCTTTCAAGCTCCTGGGCCTCTGAACCTACTATGGCAAGTGACGCTGTTCCTGGCCAAGAGGGAAGTGATGTCGAGGCTGGAAAGCTAAGCCAGCAGAATGGGGAGCCCACAGAGGTTAGAGAAGGTACCACTATGGATGGTGCAGGCGGGGATGAAAAGACTTCAGGGATCCCGGCCAGGAAGTTAGGAGGGCTGGCCTGCCAGACCTGTTCCCAAACAGATGTGGTAAGAGTCTTGGCTCTGATCTTCAAAGGATGGTACAGTCCACTCAGCCATTATTTAGCATTCAGAGGGAGCCGTTCTGCTCCTGGCCTTGTCATCATCTCGATGTATGACTTTATATAGGCCGGGTTTTCATAGTGTTTGAGGATCATTCCCCTTGCACGTTAGAGCCCCAGTGTTGCTTTGCCAGCCTCTTTCATGGAGTCCATGTCATTTTTTTTTCCTCCCTGGAGTTCCACTTAACTTGCTTCCTTAGATTGCCAGTCAGGTCTCCAGCCCAGACTCTTCTGTCCTCCAGTGCTGACTTTCCTTGTAAAACTAAGCCCGGGTTACCCAATGCCCAGGAACTTGCTTTCTTCCTGTTTGAGCTGGCCAAACCCAGGGTGGTCTTTTGTAACTCCTCCCAGAAACTGGGTCACTCAAGAACTGAGACAGAGTCACTGATGACACAGAGCGTGACTCCTAGCCTCAGCCTTGTCATTGGGTCACAACATCCAAAATGAGATGTGATAGGAGAAAAGTGGGTGGAACTTAGGGTATATTTACCTGTGATCACAGAATTTAGAGCTTAAAAATATTACAAGTAGAAGAAGTTAGGCTTTTAATTAGCAGAAGTCTGAATCACATGAGAACTCTAATTAGTATTTATTCTTAAAGGTAGTTGTTAACTCCTTCCTCATTCCATTGTTTTCCTTCTCCACAGTTCAATGTTATTTCTGTTCTTTCAGGTTTTGAGATCAAGAAAGAGAATCTGAAATGGGACGATACAGAGGAAGCAGAAATGAACAAGCCTCTTCAGAGAAAGTCTAGTGACATTTTCTGGCACTCTGAGCTAAGACGGGCTGGGTGGATGAGCCAATGCTAACAAGGCAACGTAGAGTTTCTCCAGCCGGGAGTGAGGAGAATCCCACCCCAGGAGCCAGTAAGTCACTGCAGAATTCGTACTGGGGAGAAGGCTGGAGCACACCTCCTGTGTGGGACAAGCTGCCCTCAGAGTTCTCCCTCTCACCAGCAGCCAGCCCCCAAACGGAAAAAGCTTCTAAACGTCACAAATGTGGGAAAAGCTTTAGCTGAGGTTCTTGTTTGACATCAAAGAATCCACACAGGAGAGAAGCCGCACAAGCGCACTGAGCGTGGGAAAGCCTTCAGGGATCATGCCAGCCTCACTGCCCGCCTGGTGACTCACACAGGAGAGAGATCCTGCCGCTGTGGGGCAGGTGGGAAAAGCTTCACCCAGAGCTCCGGCCTCACTGGCCACCAGAGGACCCGCACTGCGGAGAAGCCTCATCAGCGCACTGGCTGTGGGGAGAGATTCAACAACAGTTCCCAGTTTAGCACTCACTGGGGAGTCCACACTGGGGAGAGCCCGTACAGGTGTGGGCAGTGTGGGAAAAGCTCCAACAGCTGCTCCCACTTCAGTGCCCACGACCAGAAAACCCACACCAGTGCTCTCAGCGTAAGAAAAGCTTCAGTAAGAACTCTGCCCTCATTCGCCATCAGTGGGTACACATAAAAGTGGTACACACATCACGGGAAGGAAGAGACACACTAGGAGTGTGCAGGAAACCTGACAGATCGATTCCTTAGGTCAACATGTGTTCCTCAGTGCTTCCTTGTGCTTGTGGAGCATTTGACTAGGCAACCCCTGGCTTAGCAGTAGACTTGTTGACAAGTGGATCTTAACAGCCATGTCTAGGAATAGAATTCAGCATAAGAATGCTGAACTCTTTCTAGCTCTGCCTGGGATTCCTGAGTCCTGTCTCACTGGGGACTTCAGTTTTGCTCTGAAGGGGAGAAGGCTATAGGATCCCTAAGTCCTGCCAGAAAACCTGTGTATCCTTGCTCCCAACAGAGAATGCCCCTGCTAGTGGCCTGAGCAGTCTTTTTGGGCCACGTCAGGGAAGAAATTCTCCCCCTCATGGAAAGCACATCTAGAAGTTAACAGCCTGGATCCAGTCTAAACCAGTAACTGACCTCTAGGCACTTACTGTTAGGTACTACTGCTAACTTCAGAGCAGACCACTAATTGTAACTCAGCTACCACCAAAGAGGAGGGAAAAGGAAAGGAAGAAAAGGTAAATCCACTGGGCAACACTCAATCTGTTTCCCTAAGTAACTTAATCTCAGAGCAAGTGTAACATCTAGGTCAGCCTTTGTAAGATTTCTTATCTTACCATTGCCTCCACCCATTTCTGGTTTCTTATCTCTTAGAGTAAACAGTTTTGACATGTTTATAAGCCTTACTATTTCTGTTGACAATAAAGATGTCTCTCCTTCCACTTCCTTGGCCCTTGGTTATAACCTCCATTAGAAATTTTTTACTCATGAAAGCCTCCAGGGTCCTAAGAGGATCCAAGTATAGAACCTGCTTCAAGGCAGCAGGACATGCAGAAAGGAATAAGGGGCAGGAAATGGGGAAAGAAGGACCAGAATTGGGTTGGGGAGGTCTGAGCTATCACTGAGAAGGGAGGTGATCACAGGAGCAAGGGAAATACAGGGGCTGCAGGAGGCTCTGAGTGCAGGTGAAAAGAAGGGTGGGTATAAGGAGCACTAACAACTTATATTAAAACTTACTGAACCAGAAAAAGTCATAGATATTTAAAGCTTTCCTGGATTCTCCATGATGAAAAAGTGGTGAAAGAGGGGAAGGCTGTACTCGGTTCTCAGCCTATGCACACAAGGCGTCAGTACCTTGCCTAAGCTTTGGCAAAAAGGAAGTGTCATGTTCGCTGCCTTGAGCCTTCTTGAGGAATTAGATATGACCAAAAGAGAATGCATACTCTACTTCAAAGCCAACCCTCCCCCCCCATTTTAGGGAAGGAGAAACAAAGGCAGGACAGAAGAATATACTTTAGCGTTTCCTCAGGGTTAGCCTTGCCTGGACCACGCTACAGTTCTCTGCATATACAGTCCTTGCGCTTGGCCCTTAGGCTATGCGGGTCAGTTCCCACAGCCACATACTTACCTCTGCTCCACAAAGGGAAGAAACGGGACCTTAGAAAAGCCTGGGCAAAGGCAAAGAAGTGGGCTTGAATGTGACCTGTTGCGGACAGCCTGACTTCACTGGAGATTCACGGTGGGGAAGAGGGATACAGCCCAGGGGTGGGTCAACTACTGAAGGGCTGTGGGTACCAGCTCAAAGAAGCTGGCCTGGATAAGTGAGCAGAGCCAGTGAAAGTCAATGGGCGTGCGAAGGAAGTGGAGGTACCGACACCTCACCAGCAGGCTCCCCTGACTCTTGCCTGGGCCTACGTTGGCCAGGGAGACTGGGATGCAGCTGTTGAACCCCTTGCATACTTAGGTAGCCTCCACCCTCCAAATTGCTTTATCCTCTACAGTGCTGGGCAGAAAAGGAAGACAGAGTACAGAGCTCCCAAGCCTTGCCTGTCAGTCTCTCGGGATGGTCTGGAGTAGACAGGTAAGAAAATATGCTCAGTTATTCATTCATTCAGGAAATACGTGATTGCCTATAAAGTACCAGTCATTACACAGGAGCTGAGAACAAAACCATGAACGAAGTAGACACAGTATCTTCCAGAACCACTCTCACTGGACCCCTCAGAAATACCACTACCACCCAGCCCAGCCCCCAGAGCTCTGAGTCCCCGCTCTGTGGGACCACTCTTCCAAGCTTCCAGGTTCTGATAAACCCAGCCTTCCCCTATGATCCCCCCATTCCCTGTGTGGTCACTGCTTCCTACAGTTACCGTCTCTTGCACCTTAGTGTCTACATCCCATTGCCAGATGAGCCTGATCACTGCACTAACCACTTGAGAATAAACGTGAAGTAGGTTGTACAAAAGGCAGCACCCGAAGTCTGTAGATTTATTCTGATGTGTAAACTTACACTGCTGGTTTGGTTCAGCCCTTCAGACATCCATTAAAACTCCAGTTTTCCACTGTACCTTAAATGCTGGGGCTCTCCTTACAGCTGCTATACCTCCATTCCTCACTGAAACATTTTAACGAATGGATGCAATTCTTCAGTTGACTATTTCTTTTTCCCAAGGATTCCTAAGCACTTCCCATAGAAGTATTCTCACAACCCAGAGAAGTAGGGCAAAGCGTGCAGGATGTTAATAACCCTTTTCCACATCTATTGCTATTCCTCAGCCTGAGGTGGCAGATAGGTGGTCACAGCCAAAACCACAGCTGGGCCCCTCATACCTCCTACTCCACTTCCTTTCCTCTTGCCACCTCCTGTCTGCCTCACCTGTGAGGGACTGCCTTACCAGTCAGTTTGGGAACAGCCTGGAACTTTTGGGACCCTGGGCTAGACTGTGCTTGTTCATCACTAACTGCATCACAGGCAAATCCTCACTTTCACCATTACCAGCTCCAGTCTCTTCTAAGTCCTGCTGCTCATCCTCAGTGTGGCTTCTGGGTAGAGACAAAGAGAAGGACTGAGTGGTTTCACATGTGCAGGTCAGAGGACTCTAGCAAATACTCTGGCCACTCCCTGGGGTATAGTAGTTAGCCTGAAGGATTTTGAACTTGGCGCCGTCCTGCTCTGGCATCTAGATGAAGCTGTGCTCCTGAGGTTGCTCTGACAGTCCCCATACACATGGTCATTCTCGTGGCACCTCTGGAGTTTTTGATGAATCTAGGATTCATTCAGAATTGCAAGTAAAGTATGGGTTTCCTGGTAGCCCCATTGCGTACCTGCTATCGGAGGTCAAATGATTTGCATGGTGACTGAAGTGAAGGAGCTGGATTTTGAATATGGGTCAAATCAATTTCAAGAATTTTTAATTTTTCACTCTCTCACTCTCAGCACTCTTCTGCTTAACAATTTCTGTGAGATCTCAAAACACAGACCTTATTCTATATGTTTACACCAACAAGGCAGCCTTACTGTGGCAGGGGCTGTAGGCGAAATGCTATTTGTAAGCATCTGGCCCAGTAATTGGCACACAAAAGGTGCAGAGTAAATGGTCTGGGGTGATATAAGAGAAACTCCATCTTACATGAACTTCAGGTGTATCTCACTACTTGACATATATTTATTCATTTAAAGTCTGTCATTCCTACAAGAATGTAAGCTTCTTGGGGAGCAAGAAACTTGTTTTGTTCATTGCTGAATCACAGCACCCTGAATAATGTCTCATGCAAGATAAGTATCTGCCAAATGAATGAATGGGTGAAAAAAACACAAGGAAGTCTGGGGCGTTCAAACCTGATTAACTGACTCCATGTCCAGTACTTAAGCACTAGAAAGAATATGAAAGGAGATGAAGATTGGTCTCTGAGATGTCTCTAGGATCTGTCTCTCCTTCATTTCCACTCCTATAGCTCCAGGAACTTCAGCACTACTGACATTTTGGGCTGGACAGGTCCTTGTTGTCTGTGGGTGGGCAGGTGTCCTGTGCGTTGTAGGATATTTAGCCTCACTCCCGGCCTCTACCCACTAGATGTCAGGAGCACCTGCCAGCCTTGACAACAAAATTGACTCCAGAAATTGTCAAATTATCTCTGAAGGGGTCAAAACCACCCCTGTTGAGAACCTCTGGTCTACGTACATATCATTAGGCCAGGATGGTACAAGAGTCTCCCATCTCTCCACCTGGTCTTCCTGTAGAGCAGATCTGGATTCTAATCCAACTGTATAAACTACCCTGCTCAAAAGCCTTCAAGACTTCCTACTGCCACTGAAATAAGCCAAGATTTCCTAACTTTAAAGGCTCTCCCTAGCATTCATGACCTAACCTACTCCTCCAGCCTCAATGCCCACTACCCAACACACATTCTACAATCCAGCACAGGTGAACTGGTCCCACGTCCTGGAACAGGCTTTGTGCTCGCCAGCCTTAATGCCTTTGCCACTAAACTTCTCCCAAGGCCTGATTCATTCTTTCCATAGAAACTGAACACGAGGGGCTGCCAAGCTCTATTCCTCCCAACCCTCAGGGAGCAAGGGCACCCGAGCCTAGAAATTAAAATAAGGTAAAATTTATGTTTCCAAGGTGTGGACTTCATCAAAAAAGACATGAGGCCCAGAGGGTAAGGACTGGTTACCACCACCATCACCATCACACTAACATTACTATCACTACCTTCTGGAAGCTTCCTAAAACTTTGAACTCCTCGGCCCTTTCTGTAACTCTCTCTCAGGACGCCTTCTCTTCCTCCACCTCCAACCAGAATTTACTTCCCCGGGTCTGTCTACTCCACTAGTTTGGGAGCTCTCTGGAAGTAAGGAGTTGTCTTCGGGTCCCCACCGTCCAGCACAAGGGCCCATAAGGACCCGGAAGGACCTCAAGGAACGAGTGTTTTATTAGCAAAAGCCACAAGGAAAAAAGGCTTGGAGCCCATAAAAGCCGTCTTCACTAGGAAAGTGAGCGGACTGGAGCCCTGAAGGGCAACGGGGCCGACACACCAGGCTACCTCGGCCCCACGCCTCCCAAGAGGGTGGAGGTCCCGGCTCAAGGCCACTGCGAGTCTTTCCGTTCCAGGACGCAAGACACAAGGCGAGAGTTTCAGGGTAGAGGCCAGAACCGCAGCGCCCAGACCCGCCCGCAGAGCAAAGGCGGTCTCAGACGCGCAACTCGCCCACCCAGCAGTCGCGCCCAGCAGTCGTTTCCAGCGCG